CCTGAGATTCATCCTTTCTCCCAGTGTGGTCCTCAGATCCTTTGCATCTGAAACATCTGGGGGTAAGTATTAACTAAATAAAATCCTGGGCCTCACCCTACCCCTTTGAATCAGAATTCTTGACTGGGAACCTGAGAATCTGTATTTAAACCAGATTCTCCAAGCAATGTTTATGTAATCTAAGGTACAGGCAGTCTAAACTGCCCACAATCAGAACAATTCAGCGTCCTTGCTACTCAAAGTGTGGTTGCCAGACCAGCAGCAGCAGCAACTAGGAGCTTGTTAGAAAAACAGAATTTCAGCCTCACTGCAGACTTCTTGAATCAGAATCTCATTTCAATAAAAACCCCACTGATTCAATATGAATATTACAATATGACAATTACTCCTCTGAATCTTGTTTTCCAAATGGTTACTTGTGCATTGCCTATAATATTTGTAATTGGCTATATTATATTTACTTAATATTTAAAAAATAGATTTACTTTTTTAACCTTTAGCCTGTCTTAAAACTATCCTTGGGATCATGAGTTTGAAGTGCTAGTTTATCTTGAAGCACATTAAAATACATGCATAACTCTTAAAATAAACATGTTTGCCTACTTATTAACACACAGAGTCATCTCCCAAACTACATATGGTCCAAGGATACTGTGGGGTGAGGCTGACACTGAATGCCAGAATACACATAGTTTTTCCAGCCTCTCACTAATCTTATGGATGAGAAAATTAGCAGCTGAGAAGAGGGATATTTAATGCCAACACAGCTATTTATGGCAAAACCAGAAGCAAAATCACAAAAGAATTCTTTGTGGGTGCTTATTCCTTCACAAATCTCTCCTGTAGCTGGAGGAAATGTTGTTTGTATCGTCATTTGACTGTTTGTTTTAGAGAGAGAGAGACAGAGAGCAGGGGAGAGGGGCAGAGAGAGAGAATATCCCAAGCAGGCTCCATGCACAGTTGTAGAGCTGGATGCAGGGCTCGATCCCACAACCTTGGGATTGTGATGTGAGCCAAAAACAAGAGTCGGGTGCTGAACTGACTGAGCCACCCAGGAGCCCCTTTTATGTTTTTTTTTTCTCCCTCTAATATAGCTGAGCAACATATCATGGTTCAGTTAGTTCTCCTGTTTTCCTTTCTGTCCTAGATGTTTGTCAGTTGGCAGCTGGCCACACCTTTGAAAACCCTCACTATGTATTTATAAATTTCCCACCTACCTACTCAATATGCACCTTCCCAAAGCAGAATCCAGAGCACTCACATCCCCAGGGTCCCTTGTAGCAGAGTTGAGGCACATGACTTACGCTGGTCAATTACATATGCCATAAAAGAATGAGGCTAGAAGTGAACAATGTGAAGAGACCACTGCCTACCAAGAAATCTGTGTATGACAAGGCCTATTAGTCTTCAAGATTGGCACTGGCAGAGTTTCTGGCATCTGGTCCTAAATGCCATAGGTGCTGAGCTGTGGTGGTAGCACAGGAAGCACCCAAGATGAGCCTGGGCATGGTTCTTGGCTGTGAAGATTTAGATTCCTTCTGCTGGAGTCCTTGGGATCTCTACGAGCTACCCGCCAATCCTTAAGAAATCCCTTTTTGGGGTGCCTGGGTGGCGCAGTCGGTTAAGCGTCCGACTTCAGCCAGGTCACGATCTCACGGTCCGTGAGTTCGAGCCCCGCGTCAGGCTCTGGGCTGATGGCTCGGAGCCTGGAGCCTGTTTCCGATTCTGTGTCTCCCTCTCTCTCTGCCCCTCCCCCGTTCATGCTCTGTCTCTGTCTGTCCCATAAATAAATAAAAACGTTGAAAAAAAAAA